TTTCCCAACAAATTTCCCCTTTATTAACTGCCTCGCGTGATACTATTATGCAACCGGGACATGGTTCAGGAATCAAGCTGTGTGGAAGCAAGCGAGCGGGGGCCTATGAGAGCCACATCACCCAGAAGAGCACGGAGCCACGGGGGCGGTGCTGTGACACAGCGTGGGCTTCCCCTCCACCAGCACACCTTGCGCCCTGACCCCTCAGCCCTGGGGAGGCCTGGAGGCCCCCAGCTCCAGGTAACCCTGTCTCTAGGTCCTTGGGAGCTTAGGGATCAGGGTACAGACCCAAACCTGGCCGCGTACACGGCAGGACCTGGGCAGAGCTGAGCTAGTAAGAAAGGGACTCCCCAGTCCCCACCCTGATGAGGGATGAGCTCGGCTGGTTCCTCTCCCTCTCCCAGGAGGAGGCCGGGGTGGGTGAGATGCTGGGCGCTGGGCCGACCTCCCGCTCAGCTTCTAGACTCAGCCCGGGTGCTGGCGAGGACCCACGGAAGGTACTCAGCTCGGCCCTGCGGGCCCCGCTGGGGGATGCCATCCCAGACTCGGTCGGATCTGCGGGGGCCCAGGGGGAGAGGGAGCGAAGGAGTAGGGCCTGGTGGGTGGGCCAGCCCAAGGCGGCTTGGCCGTGGCACCGGCAGGCCTGAGCAGCGGGGCTCAGAGCTTGGCCTGGGGGTGGCTCTGCAGCAGAGCGCGCATGTCCAGGAGCGCCTTCTCCAGGTAGTGCGCCAGGCGGACCGCATTGGTCTCGGCGCAGCTGTTGTAGGCCGACACGGAGAAGTTGATGTGCGCCTCCATGGGGTTATAGCAGACACCGTAGCCATCTGGGACCACGGGCCCAAAGAACATGACACAGTCTGTCTTGGCAGGGACCTGAGAAAGGCACAGGACCAAGGCTCTCATCCCAGCCCCACAGTGGCACCAGCCTGCCTTCCCACGTTGGCTCCCACAGTGCTCGGCCCGAGACGCCCTCTCGTCTCCAGCCGACAGCTTACTCCCTCTCATCCTTTGGGGTGCAGTTATGGTGTCACCTCCCTACAGAGACTTCCCTGACGTCCCTGAGTGGGGGCTGTCTCATTCCCCATGCTTCCTGTCTGGACTGTGAGCCCCTGGGGGCAGGGGCAGTGGTCTGTCCCTGATCTACCCCAGTGCCCAGCACAGGCTGGCATGGATCAGATGTTCCTTCACATCTGATCAGTGAATGAATGAAAGCGGGCGGGGGGGATCCTGACTCCTTCCCGACCTGCCCGAGCTGCAGCGAAGCCCCCTGACCCCAGCTCCTCCTCCAGAGCTCAGCTGCTTCGGGAGTGCGCCTGTGTGCGTCACATCACCACCAAATGACCGTGTTCTGAGCCTCGGCTCCACTCAGTGCAGCCTTTGTCCGGCTCCAGTTTCTAGTGGCTTCTGTTCCCTGCCACCCCAGGGCACCGAGGGCAGCGGCCCACCTGGCTGGTGGAGAGATTGAAGTGCATGGCGATGGCATAGGACGTGTCCATGAAGATGTCGGGCATGCTCACCAGGTCTTCGATGGCCTGCAGCTTCAGGCCCAGGAGGTGCCGGTCGAAGGCCTCCCCACGGATGGCCTGCAGGAAGGGGAGCTGTCAGGAACAGGGGCTTCCGGCCCATGAGGCACCGCTGCCCTCCTCAGGAGCCCGTGGCAGCAATGCCTCTTCCATTCACTGACCCCTCAGACCCGTGAGACCAGAGCAGCCAAGCAGAAGAGCCCTCACTTCACAGATGGGGAAACTGAGGCCCAGGGACCCACCCAGGGAGGCAGGAAAGTGCAGCCTAAGAGCACAGGACTGCAGCTGGGTGGCCTGGCCTCATCCTGGCAGGGACCTTAGCAGGTCACTTATATCTTGGAGCCTCAGTGTCTTCATCTGTGAAATAGGGACAGTCACTAAACTCCCTTTGCGGGGCGGCAGTGAGATCTAAACAGACCTCTGCGTGTGACATGGGCAAAGCCTGGCACGTACAAGTGCTCAGGGCCAGGATGGGAACCAGACTTCCAGCCCTTGACTGCAGCCCAAGCTGTCAGAGGGCAGGAACCCTGCTGTCTGCCAGCCCGTGCACACCCTCAGCATCCTGGGCTCCAGGGGCATCAGGGGGGACCCCTGATGACGCAAGATCCAGAGGCCAACCCGAGCAGCCACTGAGCCTCGCCTTGGTTTCTCCCACTGTAAAATGGGGATGTTCAGCTTTGCTCCAAGTGCCCCAATCTTTAGGGGAGGGGTGTCTGATGCTAAGGGGAGCAGCCATTTGCTGCAGGGATGGACAGGCAGGTGGACAGGCCAGTGGGAAATGCCCGGGTCACGTGAGCAGGGACAGAAGGGGCCGGCTCACCTGGTCGGTGTAGGCTCGGTGGGCCCGCACGGCCTTCCGCAGCAGCCCCACCTTCTGGTGCTCCTGGTCAGGGGGAGGGGACAGGGAGCTGCAGCTTCCTGTTCTTGCCACCCTCCTCAGTGGCCCACTCCCCACTCTAGATTCTGAGCTCCCTGAGACCAGGAACTGGAGCTGCCATCTCTCTGGCCAGTCCCCAGCCAAGGCCTGACACAGGGCAAGTGCTCACTGCTGATGATTGACCCTTGAACAACTCGGGTTTGAACTGTGCGGGTCCACTTACACGTGGATTGTTTTCAATAAATTCGACAGTATGACATGACCCGTGGTGGGTTGAACCTGCAGATGCAGAACCATGGACACAGAGCTGACTACAAAGTTACATGTGGATTTTTGACTGTGCGGTGCCCCTATCCCCTACGTTGTTCAAGGGTCCACTGCAGTTTCCTTTTCCCTTTGGCTGAAAGAAAGCTCCACGCTGATAAATTCATGGCTCCATCTTCCCCTAGATGCCCAGTATCCACCACAGGACTGGAATACAATAGGTGCTCACTGCGTGTTGACAGAATGAGCAGGAAGGGAGAAGGCTCAAACCCAGCTCTCCCACCCTTGCTCCGGACCTCTCACCGTCACATTAGGGTTATCCATGGCCTTGACGAAGGTCAGTGAGTCCATGGAGGCCGAGCGGATGGTGTCGGTACGGCCCAGGTGAAACATGCGCAGAGAGGCGCTTTCATAGGTGGCGCACGCCTGCCCGTAGATCCTGGGTGGGAGGTGGTCTGAGCACACCCCTGGCAGGTCCCCCCGCCTCTGCCCCCAGGCTTCATCCCTCCTTCATGGGGGGCGCGGCGCGGCACACCTGTAGTAGGCCAGCTGTAGTGCCATCTGGATGAAGGAGTCTGGGCTCAGCTTCTCAGACTTGGGGAAGTCCTTTCCAAAGTGGTGGAACACCAACATCGTGATGTCCAGGTCCTGGATCATGCTGGGGGTCGGGGGAGGTGGGTGAGGAGCAGACACCTGGCAGCCTCTGCCAACCCCAGGGAGGGGCCGAGGGCAGTCTCAGAACCAGCCAGGCATGATGCCAGAGCTGACTCTTGTTCTGGCTAGAGGGGCCCGGCCCCACCCGCCTGGCACCCAGCACTCACATGCTGAGATTCTGCTTGGCTTTCTCAATGTCGCTCTTGATCTCGGGGGTGATGTTGAACCGCAGCTTCTTGGGCATGGGCAGGGGCACCATGGGAGACTGCACAAGCTCGGGCTTCTTCCTGCATAGGACGTGGGGGTCTCAGCCTCCTGCCGGGCATCTCGGGAGCCTGGGTCCATCCCTGGGATTAGGATGGGTCCCTGAAGCTGGAGGGGACCAGCCCAGGGAGACTCTTGGGTTTGTTCTTCTGAGAACTGCCTTCATTTCAGCTTTTAAATGGCGAAACGGAGGAGGGGAAGGGACTTGTCCAAGGTCACAAGGCTGAGAAGTGGCAGAGCCAGAATTCAAACCCAGGTTTGATCGACTCTAAAACCCATGCCCTCTTCTGGCTTCCTCTGAAGAAACAGATTCCCAGGTATGAGGGAGAATGCCGTTGCTCCTTTGAAGGCTACTCTGTCGCCTCTGTGTCACCTGTCATCAGGAGCTGGAGAACTGGCTGGAGGATGGGCGAACCACACTCACGTGAACTCAATGACGTGGTCCACAAGGGTGATGATGGGGGGTCCCTCTGCTGCCGCATGCTCATAAACGAGCCCACAGGAGCCGTCTTCTGCCACGATGAACTGCAGAGGAGAATGGGGACCCCAACAGCCCCAGGTCCCTGGAGCCACTCTCCGGTTGGGTCTCATGGGTAGGGCGTCCCTGAACCACCTCAAGGGGTTCTGCTGACTTATTACTGTTATTCCTAACAGCTAACACTCATTGGGGGACTTGGAACACCTGTCCCAGGTCACGGTAAGCACATCCCGTGCTAAATAGACCTTTCCGAGTCCTCGCAACGACCCTTGCGAGTCCTACCACCCCATTTTACAGGTACAGAGGGAAAGTCACGACCAAGGTCGTGCCACTCTGCCTGGCCCCACATCCCAGGCTCTCTATGATCTGCTGATGGATATGCTGGAGGAGTGACGCGGGTTTCCAGGCCAGGCCCAGTAATGACAGGCTGACTGCTGCTAATTATAGCCCCGTCCACCTTCTGGCTTCCCCCTTGCTTTACAAGCTGGGAAGCCAGGGACTCCGGGCTCCAGGGGAGGGGCAGGAAGTCCCGGGGCAGCAGTGGGCCAAGCCTGGGTGCATGCCTGGGCGGGAGTCCTGGCCCTGCCAGGTCCTCACCTGCAGCGTTTTGTCGAACCAGCGGTTGCCGCTGTTGAGCTTGCTGCCACCCCCGTGCAGCATCTGGCCAGCCACCTGGCTGCGGTACACGTCTTCCGAGACCCGAGGCATGGGTGCGTCCAGGCACACGGTGAAGATGCTCTTCTGGATGGAGTGCACTGACTCCCGGTTCACCTTGTCTGTGGAGATGTGTGTGTGCGTGTGTGTGTGGTGGCATGGGGGCCAGGCCTGGGGAGGCCTCCGGAGCTTCACTTGGCAGGGGCCTGCAGCCCCATGGCACCCCGTGAGGCAGGGCTAACACCTGACCCACTTCAGAAAGGAGGAAACAGAAGCCCATGTCACGCAGAGAGCCGTTGAGGCAGTCGGGGATTCGACCCGGGGGCTGACTCTGGGGACAATGCCCCTGACCAACAGGGGACTTGGAGGGAAGGTGGAGGTGGGCTCCTCAGCCAGAGGACTTGCATTCTCACGGCAACTTGCTACTTAATAGAAAGAATAAACTGGACCCAACCGCACTGCAGTTTCCTCTTCTGTGGAATGGGGCCAACAGCACCCGCTCCGGGTTGAGAGGATGCAGTGAGACACGTGGCTGCCCAGGGCCTGGTGTGGGCCTCCCCTCCCCTCCCAGTACCTTTGATGAGGGTGCTGTACGCCCTGGCCCAGGAGTTACGGTGGCTGGAGGTGAGGATGCCCACAGGCTCTTTGTTGGTTTGCAGTGATGAGTTCCAGATCTTCTCCAGCTGCACGAAGATCTGCTGCGAGGTCAGGGGCGCGCCATTGCTGTGGTACACACCCAACTCAAAAAACTGTCCGGGCACAGGCAGGTGGAGAGAAGGGGGTTCGTGGGAGCCTCAGATGGGCAGCAGTCACCTCCCAGCATAGCCTCCTCCTGGCCTGGGCAGCCCAGCTGAGAGGATGGCGTCAGGCCGAGGGCGAGGAGATGGGAGGAGGTCCCTGCACTGCTCTCCCCAGGCTGGCCAGGCCCATAGCCCTTCCTGGCCTCCCCCAGGCTGGGGCCTGGCTGGACACCCAGGGCGGAGAGAGACCCAGGGCCTGCCTGTTCCCTGGGGCACATGGGCAGGTGTGTTGGGGAAGCTGACTCTCGGCCCCGCCCCCTCCTTCGGGCAACCGTGCGTGCGGGGGGCTAAGGCTGCGGGGGGCTAAGGATGCG